ATTGCCTTCATGTATGTAAGGCCACCTGTGTGGTGCAGTGTCCATGGGTGAAGAAGAGGGTATCAGATCCCCTGGAACTGGAGTTTCAGATGACTGTTAGCCACCATGTGGGTTCTGGGAACCAAACCTGGGTCCTCTGTAAGAGCAGCCAATGCTCTTAATGCTGAGCCATCTCTCTAGCCCTCAATAGTTTTCTTAATTTCTTTACTTTGTAAAAGCAGTAGCAAAGTTTTTAAATGTTCTTATGCTCCTGTCTTAAATTAAACAGGCTCTCTTTATATCTCCAAACATAATGTAAATATTTTTGTGAGAATTTAATACATGAGTATTGTATTTGCATCATTTTGACTGCTCTCACTCCCCCTTCCAACTCCCCCAATGCCCCCCAACTCCCTTTCTCTTCTTTGAACATTATTTTTATATATACACATATAATACACTTATAAGTCTGTAAAGCACTAAGTCCATTTAGTGGTGTTCCTGGGTATATATATCTAAACATACTTTGAAATTCCCATCATGCTGCAAGTAACTGACAGAATTTTTCACATAATACTTATCTGTATTGGTTATGTTTATTTCTAAAATGAATATATTTTTTCACATGTACACTGCCTGGACTATCAATTAAAAAAATTGATATAGGTTCTCCCTGCTGCTCTAGTCAGCCTGGAGCTCCCTATGCAGCCCAAACTGGCTTCCATCTTACAGACATCTATAGGCCTCTGCCTCCTAAGTGCTAGAATTAAATATGTGTGCCAACACACTTGGCTAATATTCAATCTTTTAAACTATCAGAAAGGTATTCTGTGGAAAGTCAAATGTTTTGATGTGTGTGATTCTATTTCTTCAAAGATAAGAATCATGATATAATTAGGAGCACAGAAAATGAGCCTTAAATAGCCATCAATTCTGGCCCAAGAGGCTCCAAAAATTACTCAGGCTATTGCCACAGCCCTTGATGGCCTCCCAGAACTTGAAGGTAAGACTCTACTGCTGAAGACAGAACATAGTTCAGACACAGGATTTGGAGCAATAGCTCTACAACTGACCTGAAACCACGTCCCCTGAAGGCTAGCTCTCATAGTTTTGGAGAGTGCTATGAAGGTGCCAAGGGAAAACATCAGCTTCATCCAACACCAGCTTCAAGACCAAATAACCACATCAGTGACTGGCACAGCATACAACGTTGGTGCAATAGTGGCACTTTTGTCTTGGGAGCAATCAACAGTTATCTAATTGGACTAAAAGCCCACTCAGTGGGAGGAAACTCAAGTGTTGTACTGTAAACATAACCAAATACACATGGCTGGAGTGGTCATAGGCCTTAGAGAAAACCACAAGACTGTCACATCCCTAGACTAATGTGATTTCTTAATTTGTGCAAAATATGTAGCCTTATATTTAAGACAAATATTCCAGTCACCACTCATCAAAGAAGCTCATTTTGCACCAGTTACAGACTATTACCAATTACTATAACTGGTCACACACAGATATTGTCTATGCATTTCACAGGCCTAAGTGACACGCACTTCAGTGCAACCTCTTCACCTAAAGCACATGGGACATAGAACAGGGGTAAAGAGGAGGACACTAATAAATCTCTCAGTTCTCATTAATGAAGCTCCCTCATGTAGCAGAGGGTAAGGAACATAAAAAAAAAAAAAACCACAAATGACCAAAGTGTAGAAATCAAGAGTTTACTGAATTCTGGTTCTTGGACAGGACTCCTTTATTAAACTTCACCCACCCAAGGCTCAGGGATCATTCCAGAAGAGGGGGCAGAAAGATTATAAGAGCCAGGGAGGAGATGCATGACCATATGGAAACAGAGTCCTACAAGCTCCTGGGAACCTGCTCGTGTGATTCTATGGCAATGATATCAGCATACACAAGTCCCATTGAAACTCAGGCAGACAAAAACCCAGCATAGAACTGGGAAAATGAACAGCAGACCTCAATCTTATCTGAAGAAATATTGGCAACTGATTGCTGTTAGGTGAAGAGCTGATCTTCCTAAAATAAGGGACTCTAGATAGGCAGACTAGACCTCAGTAGATGGACTTGCACTGGGGAATGGCTGTGGACACTTACTTGACACAGTGGGCCTTAACAGGGATGACAGAGTACGTAGGTTCCACTGGTGGTGGGTGCTATGGAAGAGTGCCAGTGCGGACGAGGGTATAAAGATGATTAAGAATGTTTGAGATGTTGTGTATGAAATACACAAAAATTCAACAAAAACAAATAAAAAATCACTATCAATTCTAAAAATTTTGGTTTGAAGAATACCAGCTTGGAAAACTATTCTCTTAACTTTTGCATTTTAGAAAGATTGTATATTTGTGTAATGCAAACACATTTAACATACAAACAAGCCTCTAATAATTAAAACATAACTAAACAGAAGTTCTTTATAAATGTTAATGTAGTGTTTTATTTTTGTGTTCAGAAACCTTGGTTCATTAGGATAATTATGATCATGTCACTCTGTCTTTCACAAGTCCAAACAAGTTTTGTTTTGCACTGGCAAAAACAAAAAGACAGCTTTAATTCACTAATTAATTTAGGTGGTATTATTAGTAACCACAAGCAGACTTATTACCTGATGTGCAGGTGGACAAGGTTTTAAATTCTAGAATCACCCAAAGTGAGTACTTTTTTTCCTGTTTGAATTGTACTGAATACAATAAGAGGAATCTCAAAAGTTTCTTTGACTTTTTTGTTTATGCTGACATGTAATACATAATGTGAGAAAGAGAATTTTTGGGTTACCTTACATGCACGAAATCTAACTTAGTAACTAGAGTGGAGGAATATAAATAAAAGCCTAGATCTCCCTGGTCATTTGCATAGCTTGGTGACCCTATACTTGTGGACACTTCATTTTTTTCCATTTTTATTTGTGCTCATCCTACACAATACCTATGTTGGTATTCTTGACATGTTTAAGATAAAGTATTTTGCATATGTATATGATTTGTATGCATACATGTGTATCTTGGAAGTAATTCTCTAATTTTTCTTTTTATGTTTCGGTCAGAGGACATCTTGCAAGAGTCAGTTCTCCCATGCAGGTTCCAGGAATAGAACTCAGGTTGTCAGGCTTGGCATCATGTGCCCTTACTTGCTGAGTCAACATCAAAGTAACTTTTATATACAACTATAAGGTTGTTTATTCCTCTATGGCCTTTTTATTTTCTCTTTTGGTGTCTATTTTTAAGGAAAAAAAGGTTTCTCAATATTGTTACTCCAGTGGGTTTTAATTGAAATGGAGATATTCAAGACTTAAAATAATTTGAGACTTGGGAAGGGGGATGTGCAAGGAAAGATGTTTGTTGTTATTGTTGTTTAAATAATATTTTTATTTATCCTGCGAAAATGTTATACACATGATATGTTGATCATATCCATTCAATATCATGTCCCCCTAACTTACCCTAGTGACTTCACCCTGTCACTCTCCCAACTTCATGTCCTCCAGTTTTTGTTGTTGATAATCTCCTGAGTCCAATTAGTGATGCTCATATGTCCCTGGTGTAGAGCCATGCACTGGGGCATGGACTACCAACCTACTAGCAGCCATGGCCCCAAAGGACAGTGGTTCGTCCTACCTCAGTAACCATCAACTGAAAATTACTTGTCACCCAAGTATGCTTTATACATAGCAGAATTAATTGACTAATAAAAGTGAAATGTTTTGTTGTTTCATCCCGATCTTAAAGGTAGGAACTGATAGGTTTTCAGGAAAATCTTTCTAGATTTTCTCATTGACAGAATAAGGAGTCTGCTTGTTTGTATGCCTTATTGTGATAAATGAGGCAGAGGTAAAGGTAAGCAAAGCTGAATCTAAGAGTGCTCAGGGAAAGTACTGGGCCCACCAAGAGTCCCAGCTGTGTAAGACACTGTCTGTATCAATTGCCAAAAATTTCTCAGGGTTGGGGTTTCTTACCCATTTCCCCATGTCTATGCTAGGGTTGTCTGGTTTGAGCTTTTGTGGGACTTGTGGGTACTGTCACGATTGCTGTGAGTTCATATGAATAATGGACCAGTTGTCTGGAAGACTCTGTTTCCTTGTGCTCATCCACCCATCTGGTTCTTGCAATCTTTCTTCTTCTTCTACAATGATCCCTGAGCCTTGAGAGGCAGAGGTTTGATATAGGTGTTCCATTCAGGAATAAGCACTCTGTGGTCTCTTTTTCTCTGCACATTGACTAATTGTGGGTTTCTGTGCTAATCACCATCTGCTACATAATGTCTGGTGAGAGTTTCAAGATGATTTAAACTTACATGTAGGGGTTGCATTGAAGATGTGCATCTCAGAGATGCATTTTTGGTGCAACATATCTAAACAAACATTTCATGACAAATAAATATGATATAGGGGCTGGAGAGATGAATGTAGTTAAGAGCCCTTGCTGCTTTTGCGGAAGATCAGGTTTCCAGCAATCAAGTCACGCGGCTCTCTACTGTCTGTCATCCTAGCTCCAGGGGCTCCGTTGCCCTCTTCTCACCTCCAATGACACCTCTACACACTTGCACGTATACACACTCATACACAAATACACATACAAATAAAATAAATCTGGGCTTGAGAGACATATTAGCAGTTAAGAGCTCTGGCTACTCTTACAGAGGACCTGGTTTGGTTCCGAGTACCCACATGGCAGTCAGCAATTGTCCATGACTCTAGTTCCAGGGGATCTGACACACTCTTCTGATCTCCATGGGAAATGCAGACACATGCACTTACATACATGCAGGCAAACAACCATGCACACAAAATTAAATAAATAAATAAATAAACAAATAATAAACATTTCAAAATTGTAATTATGAATGAAATATTTTTAATGATTTTTACTTGATTTTTATCATGTAGTCACATATTTTAGAACATTTTTTCTTTGAGGCAGGGTCTCCCTATATCCCCATCTGGCCTAGAACTCACTGTGTAACCAACCAGGTTGTCATCTGTCTCGCAGAGATCCACCTGACTCTGTCTCCCAAGAGCTGGGACTAAAGACATGCAGCACTATACCAGGCTAGGACTTTATTTTTAAATCAGAAGGAATCAAGACATAGTTAAATAAAACCATGTTAATAGGAAATTTTAAAATCTTGAAATGGTAATTGAGTTACTTTTACTTACTCCATTTATAGACTTGAATATTGTAAGTTCTAGTTATAAGGAGGATTCTTCTTAAGATTGGGTCCTATGACTCTGTTGTTCAGATACTACAGCTCCTTTGTGGTCACAGAGTATTATTTCTTCAAGTCATCCAGCACATCTTGCTTTGTGATTTTGTCCCATGTATCTGGGATTGTACCTTTACGTGTAAATTTTTTACTATATTTTATTTCTAGATTTGACTTAAATTGACAAACAAACCATTTCCAATATGGCTGGGCCGATGAGTCTGGAGTGATGCTCCATGTAGCAAAATTACCTCCTGCCTTCCGATATTGTTTATATGGGAATTTTGCACCATCTGATAATCTAAATGAACGGTCACTTGCCACAGAACTAGAGCAGCAGCGAATGACAAAGTATTCTGTATTATGCTTATGCCACCCTGTAATAGCCTGAGGACGGTGGAAGGGCACACTGTGGTCACCTTCATGGGAAGGAATGGTGTTTGTACAAATTGCTTTGCAGAAGGGACACTGTTTCCAACAGCCACAGAGATGTTCAGATAGAATTTTCTCAACTTCAGGAAACAATTCATCTACAGGTTTACTCGAGCAATCCTCTTCTACTTTTCCCATTGCAAGATCCAAAGCTGCACTCATGGCTTCTTTGAGAAACTCAATATCTTTTATCTCCTGATGTTCAATGCTCATCAAGTCACTTCGGGGGAAGATCAGGTTGCTCCCCAGGTGATCACAGAACAGATCCAGCCACCTGGACACTGTGCTGCTTTCACCTTTAGCTACAGCTGTGGACTCATGAATGGCAGTAAGGATGGCACTCCTGATGTGACCTAAACTCATCGTTAAAAAAGTCTTTATTCTTGGAGCTCCCTCTTCTGAACAGTATCTTCTAACATGGTATCCAATGTAATCCTTAAAAAAGGAATTGGGATGATGAATGTATTTCCAATAATGATCAAAATTTTCTTCTTCTGCCAGAGAGAAGAGAATGTGTTTCTCCAGGTTAGCCCTGTTCCCATTGAATGCAGGGCAGGTGGCTCGCATGTCTCCAGCTATTTTGGGACCCAGTTTCCCCCATATGGAGGCAGAGATAGCGGGGATGAGCTTGAGCCACAGAAAGTCAACAAAGGATGTGATGGAGGTTGCACCTTGGCAGGAAATCTTAAAGCTCAGGAAGAAATCATCTTTCTTGCTTTCCAGATAGTTCACAGGGTCATTTGCTCTCTTGAATGCCTTGTGCAATTCCTTAAAGCTCCTTGATGCTCTTTGGAATAAATACATAGATAAGTCAATGCTGTAGTCCCTTGTCAATGTGTATCCTTCTTCAGTGGGCACAGATTTTATTCCTTCTTCTATTATTCTTAGGATTTCATGGAAATCATTCTGACTGTAATCACGCTTTTGCTTCCAAATGTTTTTAATCATCTCATTAACTCTTGAAAGAATGTTATTAGTAGTCTCATTGATTGATTCTTTCTGACAGATTTCTAAGCCCCTTGTACTGAAATTTTCTTTTCTCATTAGGATATGTTTCATATAATTGACTTGAAATGCTTCCCCCAAATTTCCCTTTAATTTTTGTGACAGATTTTTCTCATTTTTAAAATGCTCCCAAAGGATATTTTCACAATCCAAGTCAATATTAGGTTCTGTGATAAGAGGGGCAGCAGAGGATACATTATGGACCAAGTTTGTCCAAAGTTGATTGAATTTCTTATGTAATTCTTCATTACTTAATTCTTTGCCCTTAACACTTAAGGCCAACTTTTGACTCTTCTCTAATAATAGAGTTTCATAAAGTGTCTTCTGGCTGTTCAGCCTTTCTTGGATTTTTTTCAGATTAATGAGTTCATTGGCTTTCCTTCTGGTTTCTGAAATAAGTGCATCTTTAACGATCAGTAGCTTATGTTCAAAATTTGCTTTCCACTGAATCAATATTTCACTATCTGGGTCTTCTTTAAAATATTTTTCAAATTCTTGGTTGACAGTTTCATATTTCTTATTAACTGGATCTTCAAGCACGTCTGCTGTGATTGTCAGGATTTTCCCATTCTGAATCCGATTGTTCAGCTGATTCTGTAAGTCTAGGATGTGACTCCTCAGCACCCAGGTCCACTGGTTATACATGGTTTCCAGTTTGCTCATGACCATAACCTCTTGTGTGTTTCTGAAACTGAAAATGAAGTTCTCACTCACCAGGGCTTTCCACAAATCTTGAACTCGGGTTTTGACATCTGAGATCTTCATGATGCTTCTCCTAGATTCCTGTTGGGCAGTCAACAGAATTCTACTCTTCAGTTCCTGCACATTGTGGCTGTAGCGAGGATTGGGAGGGGCCATTGGAGGATTGCCATCCCAGAGGTGGGCAAAGTAGTAGACGTGATTATTGACATCAAACTTGATGACATCACTAAAGCGAGTCACATGAAAGCACTCTTCCTGTTCTGCAGCTAATGCTGCCATTTTATCTAGCTTCTCCAATAGCCTCCATCGTCCTTCCATAGTTTGGTCTTTAGCTGTAACTTCTCCCACATTCTGATGGACAAAGAGACAACTGGGGGAGAGTTTTACTTGTTTCATTCTCAGAAAGGCTTGGACGGCTATCTGTAAGATATCTTGCATCTCTGAGGGATTCTCCCCAAAAATATTGATCAGAGTCAAGTTTCCAAGTCCAATGACAAAGGTTGCCAGCTCATTGTCCCAGTTCTGGGATTTGTTGTTGAGTTCTGGGGCCCGAAGTCCTTCTGTGTCTACAACCAGCACAAAGTCAAATCCAAATTCCTTTGTGAATGTCTCCTCCACCTTCAGGAGCTGCATGTAGGCCCCCCTGGTGCACCTGCCTGCACTGACTGTGAACTGCAGCCCAAAAAGGGCATTCAGCAGGGTGGACTTCCCTGAGCTCTGCAGGCCAAGGATAGAGAGAACAAACAGCTGCTTGTCTCCAAGTTTCTCTGAGATCTTGTCAAAAACAGCTGCCACCCACTTGAGAGGCACATATGAAGCATCCCCATCCATCAGCTCAATGGGAACACCAGAGATCATGAGGTCTGTAGCAATTTGGGGGAGGCAGAGAAAAAGGCTATCTCTAGTGGAGGAAGTTTCTTCCAGAGCTTCATAGATCTGACCAACTTCTCTGAGAAGGTGCTCAACTCCCAAGGTACAATTAAGAATCTCTGTGGAAATAGTTTCTATTTGACTCTGACATAGTTTCATGTAGTTGCTCTTTTGCTTCTTCTGTTTTTCTCTTTGTATAATTGACCAGGTATTTTTTTGATTCTCCTGTAACTTTTCCAAGTGGTCTTTGTTCAGGTTTCCCAGAAAAATACTAAGCCATTTTAAGAAGTAGAGTCTATTGTGAGTTTCTGAATGTTCTTGAAGGATTTTAAGGACAGAGCACATTAAATCATTGAGGGGAAAGGCTTTTTCCAACTGCTGACATCGAATTAGTCTCTTATCTGTCTCAATCTCACTCTTGTGCTGTTCAATGCTCCGATTTCCCTTTTCTCTCAGATGATACAGTTCTTTGTCTTTTTCACACCAAAGGTGCCATAGTTGTCCCTGGAGAGGCAGGAAGATTTCCTTTATTTGAGATAGCTTCGATTCTGCTAAAAGGGCCATTATTGTCTCTGCCTTTTCTTTGGCTTCCTTGCAGTCTCTCTGGTCTTCATCAACAAGGAACCCTTGTATTCGAGCCACCTCTGAACAGTCCTCTATGCTAACAGCAGTGCTTGAGAGGTCTAGTAAATGCTTTATGGTGGTTGTGAGCTTCTCTGTTAATAATGCCTCATTTCTATTCCTGACCCCAATTCTCACCCTTTTGCCAGTATTATTAGTCATGATGTTTTCTTTGTCATCAAGTAAGCAAATCAAAGGTATTGGTGACTCACACAGGTCTCTGACGAGTGTTTGGTTCTCTTTACTGTCATCAGAAGCTGACATGAGGATCACAATGAGGGAGGAGACCTCCTTCAGGAAAGCAAGCTGCTGCTTATGCTCCTTGGCATCTCCGTGAAGATTGGTGAAGGCCACACAGTTGTCAAATCTGTCCTCCTCTTCTCCTCCAGGACAGAACCAGCAGATCTCCACCACTCCCCCCATCAAGACACAGTGTTTACTGCTTCCTCTGCAGTGTCTGTGAAAAAACACATCGTGTTTACGTTTACTGAGAAGAGAGCTCATGATCTGAGATTTGGAAGCACAAAGGCCACTTCCAACTCTAATGAATGACACAATGGGGGCAGAGACACTGCACATCGCCTGATTCTTGTGACTGTAGCTCTGGTCCTGTTGTGATTTTCTTGCATCTTTCCAACTTCTCCTAATTTGTCTGAGAGACCAGAGAGAGAATTCAATTTGAGAATTTTGGGGGTTTGGCACCAAAAGGGGGAGTGCATATTGGCAAATGGAAAGTTTTGTTAAAATATATTGTTTGATGAGATCATCTGCACAGTGAAAAATGGCCATCTGGATATCCATTGGGTGGATGTGGGGCTGAGACTCAGTGGCTGAAGGCTTAGTGGGATTGTCACTGTCTTCAAAGATCTCTTCATATGGATCAAAAACATCATTTTTCTGTTTCTTGGGCCCAGTATAGACCTGATTTTCTCTGTTTCCAGCATCTTGGAATTTCAGGTGTCTGAGCCCACAATCCAGCATCAATAACTTTTGCAGGAAATAGAAGGGCAGTTCCTGCTCCGATTTGGGCTGGGTGTTGTACACGGAAGTCTTGTAGATCAGATGGAAGTTAGCTCTGCTCATCCTTTTTGGGTAGAAATGTTCTAGGCCTAGACGCTTGAGTAAGTCTAGAAAAGGGCTGTTCTTCATCATCTTCTTTTTATTGTTTTCAATATTTAGTTGTTTACGAGATTCTTTGATTTCATGACGGAGAAGTTGCAATTTCTTTTTCACCTTGTCCATTTGTAAAGAAGAGGTCGTGGCTTCACAATCCCCATCAACGAGTAATCTCAAGTCTTTCTCTACATTTTCCCAATCATGAAAGTTTTCTCCAAGTCGTGAAAGGACATGTGCAACTTCTGCAGACAATGATTGTCCTATGTGTTGTCTTACTAATGCCAAGCGTTGTCTTTTATCATCTGTAGAAATACCTGTGATTTCAACAGTGGCACTCAGAGCTGTGAGCACCAGGAATGCCTGTGCCTTGTAGTTGCAAATATTTCGGAGCTTCTGGTATCTATGTTGGACAGTTTGCATTTGATCCAAGAGGAAGTTTAATACATCACACTGGAGTAGAGGCTGAAAGATACTGTTTGCAGACTGGTAGCCTGCAGCAGCTGCAATGGAGAGCAGCAGGAGCTGCATGTCTGGCTGCTCTGCTTCTCGGAGATGATTCAAGAAGGAGCCGAGAGCTGCGGTGACCTCGTATGTGGCCTTTCTTTGAGCTTCGTCCACTGTTTCTGGGGATCCATTTTTGACCTTCACTTCAATGAGGTTTTGGTGAATTTCTTTTAAATTTTCAATGAATTCACAAAATGAGGTTATGTTTACTTGTTCTTTCTCCAACTCTGACTGCTGCATGATGGACTGTGTCTGAGGAAAGTTTGTCAGTTTGTATGTAGGAGGATCTGGAAATCTAGACACCCAAGATTTGAAAAAAAGAGCTACATAATTGGCTGTCTCTTTAAGGAAATTGACCGTGTTTATTAGAAAATTCTGCAGATCCCAGCCTGTGAGGTGCATGTGATTCCAAATATCATAAGATTTAAGTTTTTGAATTAATGTTTGCATGAAGTCTGTGAGCTTCTTAAGCTGCCCGTCATAATCAGAAACCTCACAGGATTTCATATTCTTTTGGAAAAGCCTAGCATCTTTCCCAGCACTGAGTAATTCTTCATCCTGGATACGGGCATTAAGGCCAGTCAGAACAGTGTAGTTGTCCTTCAGGCAGTTAGCCAGCTGAAATGCATTCCTAAAATCACTTCTGTGACTGAAGAGGATGATGTCCCAGATGGGCACCAGCTGAAGTCCCCGGTCAGTGACAGACCAGGTTTGATTGCTGGCAACAAGGCCGGCTTTCCACTGGACAATTCCTTCAGCTTCTGGTGGCCCACCTGTCTGGGCCACAGATAACTGGACTTTGGTTCGAAGGTTCTGACAAGTTCTTTTCTGAGAGGTTTTCTTTGAATGAGTTTCAGACATATTCATGCTTGCACGAACTTTAACTCCAAAGCCACTGTAGCTGCCCCTTATGTAAATATCCAGAGCCTCTGCCGCCTGCTGCTTCACACCAGCCAGTTGCTCACTTTTGAATCCCTCTGCAATGGCCTTCCAGCAGTAGATTCCCCCCAGGTGAACAGGGCCTTGGTTAGCATGAGAGCCAAACCTGTGGAAGAAGCTTTCTGTTCTGTGCCTCAGTAAGGGGATTCTGTCTGGCCCAGCACTGTTATTTAGGAGTTCTTCGATGCTTTTCAGTTCCTGAAGAGCTGCTTTGGAGAGCTGGAGCTGATCAACGCGAAAGTGGAAGGAGGCCAGTGGAACATAGCTGAACTTGGATGAGCAGAAATAGGAGTGATTTGAATGTAATTCACTGGTTTTCTTTGATTCTGAATGTTTGCTTTGATTCCTTCCACCTTCTAGGCTAAATCCCCTGCCTCCTGCCCTGGCTGATACCATTACACCAAAGCCCAGCTTCTCCACAGTCTGGCTGAACAGGGATTCTTCTTGAGATGTTGTGAATTCTTTTGTTTCCATCCTTTTGCCCTGCTCAGGTCCTAAGAGTGAGAATTCTCTGGGGACACTGAGTATCTCTTCTCTTCTTTCTATCAGGTCCTTTTGGTGGCTGGTCTTATAAATTCCCTGCAGAGCCAGTCCTCCAGAGGCCCATCTTACCAGATCTCTGTCTGGGAGGTTTTGCCTGTGGGTCAGTGTCTGCTCCACGTGACTGAGGTGTCTCTGCATGTTTGCAGTGACTTCTCTTAGGGGCACTTCAGGCAGTGGCCAGTACTCTTCTGGGATCTCCAGTGCCTGTCTCAGCTCTGCTTCTTTTCTCTTCACTGCTCTGTCCTGTCTGTGCCTCCCCTCTGACTGCAAGTCCCTCAGCTCCTCAAATGCCTTTTTTGCCTGCTGCTGCCTTTTCTTTATCATCTCCGCTGGAGACTCCTGTAACTCTGGGGGACTATTGGACTGTGAGAGGTCAAATAGCTTCTCTAGAGCCTTTTTCTCCCAGGGATGTTGTACATGGGATTTCAGCTTCTGGACGTCTTTTTCTTCTAAGTATAGGAAGGCCTGTGCACAGGTCACACCCAGGTGTTCCTCAAGCTTAGGCAGCCAGTATTGCACACACAATCCCACTTCTGTCAGCATCTCTTGTAGACCTTGCCTCCCTTTGCTTCTGAGCTGATGCTCATCAGGAATACTTTGTGCTGTGGCCATGGCTGTGTGAAAAATAGACAATTGGTTAGTTTGTGTCCTATCCTTGGGAATTCATAGCTTTGTGGTCAAAAGTGTTAATATCCCAAGCATGCAAGTCACCGATACAGTCTCATAACATTTTTTTTTTTTGTCTTTTTGAAGCAGGGTCTCCCTGTAGCCCCAGCTCTCCTGGAACTCACTATGTAGACCAGGCTGGCCTTGAACTCACAGAGATCCACCTGCCTCTGCCTCCCAAGTGCTGGGACTACAGGCATGTGCCACCACCTCTGGCTTCAACCCATTTTTCAATTGTGAATTTTTATTTGTGTTAGTATTTTGTTACATCTCTGTCCATGTATGAACATAGCTTGTGTTTTTATTCACCATTTCGGAGTGCACCATAATAGACTGATTTTGGTACTTCCTCCTACAAAATGTTAATGTATCAAAAGCAGTACCTTACTCCTTGAAATCTGAAAGTATGCATTAGATGTAAAAATGATTTTAAACATTTTAAAAACATGAGTAATTCCATCAGTTCAGTTTGTCTTGAGACAGAGTCTTACTATGTAGCACTGTCTGGCCTGTAACTTTCTATGTCAACCAGGTTGGCCTTGAACACACAATGAAGTCTCATATAGAAATAAAGAGGAAGATATTGGAAGTCAGAGGTAAATATTAAGAAGAAGCAAAAAAAAAAAAGGATGGAATTGTGTTAGACATAATGAAAAGGACTAAGATTGTACAAGAAGGATTAGACAAAATTGGCAACAAGCCCAGTATTCAACATGTGCTTAGCATGTGAGGGCCCAGGTTTAATCCCCAAACAGACAAAAAGAATAAAAGAATAAAGTATAGCTGGGTGTGGTGGCACACGCCTTTAATCTTAGCACTTAGAAGGCAGAGGCAGGTGGATCTCTGTGAGTTTGAGGCCAGCCTGGTCTCCATGGTGAATCTAGGCCAACTGCAGCTACAGGGAGACCCTGTCTCAAAAAGACCAAAAAAAAAAAAAAAAAGAAGTATATAATCCAAATTGATGTATATAATGTTTTCAGTTGATCAATGATGGGGGATCTTTTAAAACAAAAATACCTGGCCTAGTTTATACTAGTGAATTATGCCAAATACATAAGAAGACATAATATCAGTTTTTAAACTGTTTCTTTCAAGCAAAAAAAAAACAGTGAATACTTTTTTTTTTTTTTTTTTTTTTTTTTTTGAGACAGGGTCTCCTTGTAGCCCCGCTTAGCCTAGAATTTGCTATGTAGAACAGGCTGGACTCCATCTCGCAGACACCTATCTTCCTCTGCCTCCAGAGTGCTGAGATCCAAAGTGTGTGCCACCAAACTCAGCCAGAGCACATTTCTTGATTGATTATCTGTGGACAACATTACATTAATTCTGAACCATAATGGAGACTTTATATGAAAGAAACTCTCTATAAATCAGTATCTCTCAGAAATGAAACATCAGCAAATGAAACCAACAATGTATAACAGAATTTTATTCTATGACCCACTGGGATTTTTCCAGTATGACAAACTAGCTTAACAGTTAAAAATCAATGAACATGCATCATATCAGCAGACTAAATGAGAAAACATGATCATATCAATAAGTGTGGGCATGCATTTTTGACCAAATTCAATACTCAATTGTGATTAAAAAATCAAGTAAGCTGGAAAAAGAGAGGAAATCCCTCAATTTGGTAAAGAGCATATGCAAAGAGCCTCCAGGCAATTTCACTTTCAGCCTTCAGAGGCGAGAGTGCTTCTTTGTTGAGGAACACAGTGAGGATCCCCTTTCTCATCAGTCTTATTCAGCACCATAATTGAAATCCTAGGTAAGCTAGGGAGGATAAGGAGATAAGATGTATACATAGGGACATTATAGATAAGCAACTGCCTCTCTTCACAGACAGTATGATTATCTAGGTAGAAAATCCCAAAGAATGAACAATAAAAATGGTTTTGGACTAACAGTTGAATATAAGAAAATTTCAGGGCATAATGTTAAAATTTGCTTTCTTTTATACCAACAAAGTATAAGTGAGATTTGAAATAAAAAGATCACATTACTATTTACATGAATACGAGGATAAATTACTTAAAAGAACATAAAAATATGTACAAGACTTATATGATGAAAACTATAAAATTCTGATGGAAGAGATTAAAGAATATGTAAATTAATGGAACTATACTCCATGGTTCATATTGTTAAAATTCCAGTTCTTGGAGATACAGTTTTCTAGAGGATAAGAACCAATAAAAATTTGTGTATGTATATTATAAACGTGGATTCATTACATTGGCTTATATGGTGTGGACTGGCAGTTTGACAGTGGTTAACTGCATGCTGGAGGGGCAGAGACCTAGGTTCTCAATCCAGGAAGGAAGATTTAAGAGTCCCAGTCTCATGTGGAACGTCTTCCAGGGTTGCTGGTATTGATTACATGTTGAACAGCTGACGTTTAAGATCAGCAGGTGACAGCAATAGAAGCTGTCACTCAGGAAAGATGATGGCTTATGTACTGCCTTTATCCCACCTCTCTTCTTCATGGGGGCAGTTTAACCCCATGATACTCTCACCCCTATTCAAAGAAGGTGTTTTCCTTCTATTCACTGTCTGACATGTCAATCCTATCTGAAAAGGCTCTCAAGGGCATACAGATGCATCTCCCAAGTTCTAGGCCTCTTTTAATCCAGTTAAATTGGCCTCTTAGATCAACAATCACACCACTTCTTTACAACTTGACCTTTATAGATTCAATGCAATCTCAATAAAACCCTGACAAGTTATTTTCTGAATAACAAACTGATTCTAAAGTTTATATGAAAGAAGTAAAGGTACAGAATAACTAATACAATGTCAAAGGAGAAAAATAGAATACTGACATTTCAATTCTCAGTGTAAAGATACACCAATCAAGGACACATGGTATAGATAGAAAGTTTTAAAGAATGAATGGAAAAGAATAGGATCCAAAAATATATCTCACAAATAGAATGAAGTAGCATTTGACAATGGGAAAAAGACAGTGCCATAGAAAAAAGATTTGTTTTCCCAGTACATAGCCCTAGAAATCCACCCATTAAGTGGAAAGTGAAGAGGGAAGATCACAGATGACATCCATACATCTACTTCTAGAATCTCCAGGGAATAAACAGGGTAGTTATAGAAAAGCTATCCTATGAAATATGTGAGGGTGTAAAGTAGCAAAGAAAGAAAGAAACTTTAGAAACCAGAACAGATAGACAACAGGTCAGGAGTAAATTCCAAAGGGCTCAGTCCCAAGCAAAGTTTGAAGTGCAGAATGAATAAAATGCACAGGGTTGGAACCATGACTTAAGGCAAAGAGGGGGGAAGAATAAAAACAAAGTACATTGTATGAAAATACCTTAATAAGGCCCATTATTTTATACAGTAGCTTAAACAAGTAATAATAGTAATGACAAAAGGCTTCAGAAATGTTGCCCTGTACTTTCAGTATTACATAATTTATAATAGAGGGAGAGGCGAGAGAGGGAGGTAGATGGAACCATGACTTAAGGCAAAGAGGGGGGAAGAATAAAAACAAAGTACATTGTATGAAAATACCTTAATAAGGCCCATTATTTTATACAGTAGCTTAAACAAGTAATAATAGTAATGACAAAAGGCTTCAGAAATGTTGCCCTGTACTTTCAGTATTACATAATTTATAATAGAGGGAGAGGCGAGAGAGGGAGGTAGAA